GCGATTGGCCAGCTGGCCCTGCACCCGATTGGGGTGGGGGGGCCGATTGGAGGTGGGGCCGGCTGGGGGGAGGGGCTATGGATGGTTGGCCGGCCAGCCCCGCCCTCTGGTCGAGGGGACAATTTGCATATTAGCCTCTTATTATATAGGATTGGGAACACCAGTGCCAATTTCAAAGTATTGCTGTAGGGATTAAATGACATACTTTGCACATAGTATAGAGCACTAAACACAGTGCCTGACACTCCATATATGCTCAGTAAGTGGAAATAACTTTTACAATGAAAATGTGTGGAACTTGAAGTTATTTTGTAGCAAAAGAAGAAACAAGAAAATAAACAACTCTCTCCCATAAGGCTGACCTTCCATGGGGTAGAGCTAGCTTTATCAGCTGGCCCACTCGAAGACTCCCAGAAAAGCTGCCTGGCCCTAACAGTTAAATCACTCAGTCATTTGCACTTGTTCATAAACACACTGGCTTGTGTATAAATGTAGAAGGCCAGGTCATTTGCTGGTGCCTAGAACAGTACCTCACACACAGCAGGTATGAATGAGTTTTTCCTGAATGATGCAAGCAAATGAACGTAGGAAAAATCTGGAGGGACTTTGCTTTGTTGAAGTTAGGGAATACTTCTGTCAATAGGAGTCCCATTGAAGATGTTTTGGGAATTTTGCAGACCTGGGTTCTAGTCCTGGCTGCACCCGGAGTGACCTCGGATGACTCCCCGAAACTCACGGAGCCCGTCTCCTCTTCATCAGTCTTTAAGGTTCCTTACAGCTCCAACATTCCAGTCCTAAAGCAAGGAATTCCCTCTTGCACAGGCCTGAGTTTTACAGCATTGGCTGTGAGCAATAGTAAGCATCACCCCTCCTCTGGAATTTACTCTAAGGCAATACAGTCACTTTGACCATCAGATAAGGAAAAAGAACTGAAACAACTGTGTCTTACAATTCCATTGAGATGATTTCTGCTTATCTCTAGTTCCACTGTCCACTCCCAGTCCCCTGCAATGGGTGGGCACTGAGTGGCATGCCCCCATTTGAGCCTAGGAGTATGGTTAGCGCACACATGACTTCAATGCACAATCACTGTGGAAACAATGAGAGAGACAGGACACATGGAAAGTGAAGCACACGTTGAGGCGGGAGGCTCTCGCCAGGCATGCATTGAAAAAGCCAAGTGCACAACCGAAGGTGTCACACTGCCGAGCGGGAAGGTTGAGAGGGATAGTCTGAGAAAAGCAATCGCCCCACATCCAACAATGCACACCCAGCAAACCCGCAGATGACTTTTCACAAACGACAATATACAAAGCGCAACCAGCTTTTCTCCGATTCACTGGGTGACGATGGACCGATCCCAGCAGCCCGAAGAAAGGAGGCGCTGGCGGGGGCCTACCTTGCAGTGAGTGGTGCTGACAGGAAGCCCCACGTTGGAGGCGATCACCACCGTGAACGCGGAGGCCAGTTCAATGGTGAAGCCGCTGTGGGAGGGAGACAGGAGACGCATCACAGGCGCCCTTTGTATGGGCCTCACGGACACCCCCGGGGAGCCAAAGTCTCACCAGGACATTCTTTGAATTGACTGCCGACTCCTGACTGGGCCAGATGACATCAATAGAACTAGAAACTGCTGCATAATGGCAGCGATTCACACGAAGGCTCTGCTTACATTGTTGACAGCCCCGAATAGCCTTGTTTTTCTGCTAGGTTTTCAAAACCCACACACTGTAGTAACTGGGTCAGAAATTCCTGCTGTGTAAAAATGGTCCCTTACTCATTTCTAAAGTGGCGTACGGAAAACTGTGCTCGTATTTAAAAAATGTGTACTTATTACAAAAAAAGTGTATTTTTTCTCAGATGATTAATTTTTCTTGAAGTCAATCTTATAGAAGAATCATTAAAATTCATTTCAAGAAGGAAAAGATTTCTTACAATTGGTAGTTCCAAGTTTTAGTTGTATCCTTCTAACGTTCCTTAATCTAGTAAAGATGAGTGAAAAGGACAACGGGACCTCAGAGAAAACCACGAATCTCGGACCCCACCTCTAGGGCAGAGGTGTGAGGGGAAGGAAGGAAGGAAGCACAAAGTAACCTCAGGGGGGTGGCAGGTGAGGGCTGCTTTGTCCGCTAGGTGGAGCTGGTGTGGCGGAGACTTTTGGGGAAAGGCAGGCCCTGGGCCATGGGTGTGGTTTGCATCCCCGGCCTCCCCACTTGCTCTCCAGAGCTCATGCTGGGTGAGACCACCAGTGGGAGAAAATGGGGGCTCCTGGGAGGGTTCTGTTTCTCTTCCCTCCTGCTCTGCTTCAGCCTCTCCTTCCTTCTGTCTTCCCACCCTCTCGTTTTCTCTTCCTCATCTCAGTGCCACAGGCGGATGGGGGCCCAAGAGTGCATGAGGGAGGCCATGCAAAGGTGGGGTTTGCTTACCCTCTGCCCCCTGCTCACTGCAACCCCCAGCAGACTGGCTGAGCTGAGGGGTTCAGGGCATAAAAGCAGCACAAGAGGATGTCAACTCTGCTTGGGCCTCAAAGGACCAGCCCTGCGGATCCGGCCTGCACCCGGGCTTACCTGGATGGCGTGATTGGAGTGAGGTCTTTCCCCATGGTCTGGATCACTCTTCTTCCCCAAACCCAGAGCCCCGTACAAATTCCAATTCCTCCGTAAAGCAGCAGCCAGATGGGAGTAGGTGCTTCCTGCAGGACTCCACCTTGTTCATAAATCAGCCACAAAGCTACCAGAGGACCAATGGCATTACTGGGAGAGAGAAAAAACTAGATGAATTATACAAACACTGTACGGACAAATGACACTGTACACAACATGCAGGGACTTCTCAGTCTTGGGGTAGCCCTGCTTACTGTACTTATGGCTTGCCTATGTATAATCCAGTGGTGATCAAAGTGATTTATCCAATTTTTTTTGTTGTGGTAAAAAAATTAACAGAAAATTTGCCATTTTAGCAATTTTTAAGAGTACAATTCAGTAGTGTCAAATATATTCACATTGTTGTGAAACATCTTCTGAACTATTGCATCCTGCAACCTAAAACTGTATAGTCATTAAACAATAATAACTATTTTGCCCTTTGCTCCCAGTCCCTGGTAACCACCATTTTACTTTCTGTTTCTATGAATTTGACTACTCTAGGTTCCTGTGTAAGTGGAATTATACAGTATCTGTCTTTTGAGACTGACTTATTTCATGTAGCATGATGTCCTCAAGATTCATCCACACTGTAGCGTGAGTTACAATGTCCTTCCTTTTCGAGGCTGAATATTGCACTGTATGCAAATACCACATCTTCTTTATCCACTCAGCCACTGATGGACATTTGTGTTGCTTCCACCTCTTGGCTGTTGTGAATAATGCTGCAATGAACATGGGTGTACAAATATCTCTTTGAGACCCTGCTCTCATTTCTTTTGATTAAATCACCAGAGCAGGATGGCTAGATCATAAGGTAGTTCTATTTTTAATTTTTTCAGGAACCTCCAGACTGTTTTCCATAGCGGTTGCGCCATTTTACATTCCACTAACTGCACCAGAGTCCCAGATTCTCCACATCCTTGCCAACACTTGTTATTTTCTGGTGTGTTTTTTATAGTAGCCATCTTAATGGGCATGTGATTTATTAATTTTTCACAAGTACTGAAAAATCACAAGAAGTGGACACAAAAATCAAGTTCTTTTTCTCTTCCTCTTTTCCCCTTTCTTTTCATTTTCACTGCCAGCTCCGCCACTAAGATCAGCCACCAGTTTCGGGCCCCACACTGTGGGATCACACATATGGCTAGTCACTAGTTCTCACATCCACCCTGCAAACTAGGTACTGTCACTCCCATTTTACTGATGAAGAAACCGGCACTGAAGTCAGGTCACTAGCAGGAGGCCGATTGGGACATGAGCTCGGGACCCATGCAGGTGCTCCGTCCTTTCCCCTAAACCTGCTATCATCACTCGGGCCCTTGGCAGCCACACACTGACTTTTTGGAGAGATGCTACAGCTTCTTTTTAAAAAAAACTTGTAACTTAGACCTCATTCCTTTAGAGCAATTTAAGGGTTAACAAAACTGAAGGGAAGGTGCAGAGATTTCCCACATAAACTCTGTCCTCCCTCCCCCCACGTACATAGCCTCCCTCATTATCAACATCCCCAAGACGGGAAGACTCGACATCTTGACAATAGTGAGTCTTCCTATCCTTGAACATGAAAAAAATCTCTCCTTTTATTTAATTCTTATTTGATTTCATTAATCAGTTTTGTGGTTTTTCTACATATAGATCTTTACATATTTTATTAGATTTATGTCTAAGTGTTTCATTTTTAGGGTTGCTAATATAAATAGTATTGTTTTATTTTTTATTTATTCTTTTAAGGACACAAAGTTTTCTTTAAATATTTTTTGGGGGAGGGGATACCACACTTCTACTCAATTAAGAGAAACATTTTTATCAACACCGAGGTCCTTTTTTTTTTTTTTATTTTTTTTTTTTTTTTAATTTAAATTCTTTATTGTTTAAAGTATTACATAAGTCTCCTTTTTCCGAGGTCCGTTTTTACACTTATTATACCATGAATTCGGAGGGGATGGGTTCAGCAGTTCAGGCTCCTTTCCATTCTCACAAAGTAAGCTTCTCTGGGCCTGGGTGGAGCAGGCTGGTGCTTCAGTTGAATCCAGGTGCCTTTCTCTTTGGATTTCTTCTTTCAGGAAGCTATCTCGGTTCCTAGAGCGCTTAATATGCTCAAAACGTACATTAATTCTCTTGGCAAGAAACTTGCCCTTAACGTGTTTACACAATGCCCACCGCATGCTGGGCGACACTGTAGACTCCTCCGGTTTTGCAGTGCCTGCCTTTTTGAGCAGTGCCCATTCCCTTGATGTCTATAAGATCACCCTTCTTGTAGATTCGTACGTATGTGGGTGGCCAAAGGAACAACTCCACGTTTTCTAAAAGGCCTATAGAACATATAGCGGGTGCCTCTCCTCTTTCCTTTGTGTTAGTCATTTTGGCGAATTACTGGAAGATGGCAATTCTGGCCAAAAAAAAAAAAAAAAAAAAAAAAAAAGCAGTACTGTGTTTTAAATTTCAAATTCCACCTGTTGGTATGTGTGAAAATGATTGATTTTTGTATATTAACTTTATAACCTGCAACCTTGCTATAGTTGCTTATTAGCTGAAGTTTTTATTAATTCAGATTTTCTACATAGACAATCATGTCATCTGTGAACAAAGACAGTTTTATTTCTTCCTTCCCTATCAGTATACCTTTTATTTCCTTTTCCTGTCCTATAACATTAGCTAGAATTTCAGTATAATGTTGAAAAGCAATGATGAAAGGAGACATCCTTGCCTTGTTCCTGATCATAGTGGGAAAGCTGAGTTTCTCATCATTAAATATGAGATTAGTTGGAGGCTTTTTTGGATATTCTTTATCAAGTTGAGGAAGTTGCCCTCGATTCTTAGTTTACTGAATGTGTTTTTGTTTTTAAATTAAAAATAGGTGGTAGATTTTGTTAAATGCTTTTTCTGGATCTATTCATATGACCATGTGATTTTTTAAAAAAAAAATTTGATGGATTACATTAATTGAATTTTTAATGTTGAATCAGCCTTGAAAACCTGAAATAAATTTCACTTGGTCATGGTATATAATTATTTTTATACATTGTTGGATTCTATATCCTAATACTTTGTTGAGGATTTTTACATCTATGTGCATGAGAGATATTGGTCTGTAATTTTCTTTTCTTGTAATGTCTTTGTCTGGTTTTGGTAACAGGGAAGTGTTGGCCTCATACAATGAGTTAGGAAGTATTTCTTCTGCTTCTATTGTCTGAACAAGATTGTAGGAAATTGGTATAATCTCTTTCTTAAATGTTGGCAGAATTCACCAGTGAATCCATCTGGGCCCGGTGCTTTCTGTTTTCGAAGATTAATCATTGATTTGATTTTTTAATAGGTATAGGTCTATTTCCTATAAGTTTTGGCAGCTGGTTTCATTCAAGGAATTGGTTCAATTTCATCTAAGTCATCAAATTTGTGGGCATGGAATTGTTGATAGTTCTGCTTTATCTTTTTGATATCCATAGGATCTGTAATGATGTCTCTTCTTTCATTTCTGATATTAGTAACTTGTGTTCTCTTTTTCTTTTTTTCTCATTTAGCCTGGCTAAAGTTTATCAACTTTATTGATCTTTTCAAAAAAATAGGTTTTCATTTCACTGATTTTCTGATTTCAATTTCATTGACTTCTGTTCTAATTCTTATTATTTTTCTCCTTCTTACTTTGGATTTGATTTGCTCTTTTTTTTTCAAGTTTACTAGGATGAATATTTAGATTATATTAGGAAAGAACAAAAAAAAATCAATATTTATTCAATGCTATACATTTCCCTCTAAGCAGTTTCACCATATCCCACAAATATTGATGGGTTTGTTTTTTCATTTAGTTTAAAGTATTTAAAAATTTCTCTTGATGTTTTTTCTTTGAGCCATGTGTTATTTACAAGTGTTTTATATAATCTTTACATATTTGGGGATTTTCCAGTTATCTTTCTGTTATTGACTTCTAGCTTAATTTCATTGTGGTCTGAGAGCAGACATTTATTAGTTCTATTCTTTTAAATGTATCAAAGTTTTTTTATGGTCCAGAATGTGGCCTATTTTTCTGAATGCTTCATGTGAGCTTGAGAAGAATGTGAATTCACCTGTCAAAGTCTACAGATATAAATGATACAGAGTTGACTAATGGTATTATTGAGTTTAACTATGTCCTTACTGATTTTCTGCCTCCTGAATCTGTTCATGTCTGCTCTGTCTGAAATTAATATAGTTAGCTACTTATGCTTTCTTAGTGCTAGCATGGTATATTTTCCTCCTTCCATTTACTTTTATCCTGAATGTGTCTTTATATTTAAAAGTGGGTTTCTTATAAACAAAATATAGTTGGGTTTTGTTTTTTGACCCAGTCTGATAATCTGTGTCTTTTAACTGGTACATGTAGACGACTGGCGTTCAAAGTGATTTTTACATAGTTGGATTAATATCTATCATATCTCTTACTCTTTTCTATTTGTTACCCTTGTTTTTTGTTCCATTTTGTCTTAAGTGAGCATTTTATATGATTCTATTTTCTCTCCTTTGCTAGTGTACTGCTTATACTTCTTTTTTCAACTGTTTCTACCACTAGGTTGGTCCCCCTGGAGTCTTTAAGTCTCAGCCTTGTCTCCACTGAGCCTCTAGGGTTCATCTTACAGTTCAGCTTTTCCCACCGGGCACTGGTTCCCACAGCAGCGTCCACTCGTGACTCCATGTATTTGACTGTATCTGCAATCCTGGGGGCAGTGGTTTGCCCTGTGTCCTCTTCTCTCTTCCAGATCCAAAAAGAGTTGTTGATTTTGTAGTCTGTTCAGCTTTTCACTTGTTTTTAGGATAGTATGACAACTTCCAAGTTCCTTATATGTGGAACTACACACAGGCTTTTAACGACTTCTGTAGCTCCAGTCTCTTCCTCCCATCCCAGTCTAGACTTTGTAGACAGAGTGTGGGCTGCAAGTCACAAAGAACCGGCTCTCAAGTCTGCTTCTCTCTAGCTGTGTTATCCTGGGCAAGAAATGTCACGTTTCTGAGATTCTGATTCCCTGTCTTTGATTAATATCACTGATGACCTCAAAGGGCTGTTTTGAGAAGGATCAGAATCAGTTACAAATGGTTCAGCACAGAGGCCTGCTATGAACTTAATAACCTTTTGGTGAATAAATAGAAGCCCTCTCGTTACTGTTACAGTATTATTTCTAGGACACTGCTTGTATCAGACCACATCCTTACTCAAAAGCTTCAAAACCAACCCCAAATTGTAAGCAAGTGTGCTAACCTCTGGGAAGCTGTAGCAGTTACTGTCTCAACTCCTTCTTTGGCCCTGAAATACTGTTTTGGGTGGTTTTTTACTTTCCCATTTGTATGTATTTCTTATCTCCATAACTGGAGTTTAAACTGCTGAAGGACAGGGACCCAATTCATAACACTTCACCAGTACCAGGTCTCCAATTACAATTCTTGATAAGGAGGAGGAAAGAGGTTAGGTCCGGGGAGGGGCAGTCAAAAAATTAAGACAAGACAGAACATGGTGCCTTGATTAAAATAACATGGCAGCACCTATATAATACTGCAACACACAAGATGGCCAGGCCTCTTGTCTGGTGGAACTTTTTAAAAAAAGAACAGAAATGCAGTTGTACACGGATAGGCAGTGCATAGAAACCCATGGCTGTAAAGCGGAGAGTCATGTAACTGGGCAATAAAAATGCAACAGCCCTAGCAGGTTTAGCTCAGTAGATAGAGCACCAGCCTGTGAACTGAAGGGTCCTGGGTTTGATTCTGGTCAAGGTCATGTACCTCAGTTGTAGGCTCGATCCCTGTCCCCGGTTGGGCACACATAGGAGGCAATCAATCTATGTGTCTCTCTCACAACACTGATGTTTTTCTCTCTCTCTGTCTCTCCCTTCCACTCTCTTTAAAAAAATAAAAGAGTCGTCAATGGAAAAATATCCTCGGGTGAGGATTAACAACAACAACGAAAAGTAACATTAGGCCCTGGCCAGGTGACTCCGTTGGTTGGAGCGTCGTCCTGTGCACTGAAAAGTTGTGGATTTGATTCCTGGTTAGGGCACATACCCAGGTTGTGGGTTCTATCCCGGGTCTGGTCATGTACGGGAGGCAACCAATCAGTGTTTCTCTCTCACATCAATGTTTCTCTCTCCTCCCTTCTTCCCTCTCTAAAATCAATAAGCATATCCTCAGGTGAGGATTAAATTTTAAAAAAGAAGCAAGAATAGCATGTTTTCCTGATTTGGATAGAAACATTAGCCCTGCATAATAATTAAAATAACAGTAATAGTGACAATGCATAGATACTGGTTACAGGAGGAGCACTGTCCTAAGCACATTATATAAAGCATCTCATGAAAACCCCATGAGAGTTGGTACTTGTTTTAGCTCCATTTTACAGGTTGGGATACTGAGGCTTTGGGAAAATCAAGTGACTTGTCACTAGCTATCTAGCTAGTAAAAAGAGAAGTAGAGTCTCTCTACATATTCTGGGACTCCATGATCTGATAACCTTACAGCCTACACTCTCCCTCTTTGCTCCTCCTTGCTCTTCCTAGAATACACCGGGCATATTCCTAGCTCAGGCCTTTGCACCTGCTGTTCCCTCTTCCTGAACTGCTCTTCCTGCAGATGCTCACATGGCTGGGTCCCTTCACCCTTTCAGATCTCACTAAGTGAGCCCTTACCTGAGCAGTCTATCCAGCACTGCAATCCCCAGCAGCTCCAATCTCCTTTCCAGTTTACTTTTCCCTTTAACATCACTGTCTAGCCTATTACATTACAAGTGCTATTTCATTTACCTGTTTACTGTGTGTGCCCACCCCCACCAGGAATGGCAGGGATTTTTGTTCCCTGTTTGCTGCTGTATCCTGGCTCCCAGAACAGTGCCTGGCACACACAGCCCCTCAGTACATACTTGGTGAATGAACGAGTATCCTTACCTCACATCATTGCCACCATGTGCAAAGGATCCAAAGCAGGCAGTAAGGACCTGCAGAAAGTGGAACAGGAGGTGGACCTCGGATGTGTCTTTCTCATCTTTTTCTTCTTCCCCAGGGTCCTCTCGAGGCCGGGCAGGATCTGCCAGCTCAGACGCCAGCTTCATCTCCACACCTCCCTCCTCTGCCTCTATCTCAGCCTCGGCTACCGCATTGCAGTAGCTGGAGTAGCTGTCGTAGCGAAGTCTCTTTTTAGAATAGGACACGGTGTCACCCACCAGCTTCTCACTGTCCTCGGGGGCAGGCAACGGGTCAGCAGCTCTGAAGGTCGAGTGCACCGGCATCCCACAGATGGCCGCCGTGTAGCAAGTGTAGCTGTTGTTCCGCCGCAGGAACCTGTAGTTGTTCTCCGGGGCGGGCTTCTCGTCGGAGCCCCTGTCTGTGTGGATTCTGTGCAGCAAGTCTTTGTAGAGCCCCGAGTCTTTGTGGACCGTGTGGTACACGTGGCCGTCGCTCCTCGTGTGGCCATCAAAGCCGAATGTGCCATTGGAGATGGGCGATTTTGTGGAGCCGTGAGTCATGGAAAGTGCCCTTCCTGAAAAGCGTTAGACAGAAGCCTCATTTTCTAGCCTTATGGACAGAAATCACGTCTGGGAGGAAATACTCCCCATTGTTTCATGATGCTAATCTCTGGAAGGCTGGATTATGGGTGATGTAAATTTTTTCCCACATGCCTTATTTTCTAAGTGGACTGACTATAAAGGACATGTAATATGGTTAAAATAAAAAAGGAAACTAGTGAACATACGACAAAAAGGTAAAGCTAATAATAAGGTATTTTTAAAGTGACACTATTTTTCTCTTAAAAAGAGTCTTCCAGAAATTACTGCAGCATTCCTTCCTGTTTCTAGTAACTGGTAAAGGGAGAATCCCTGTAAGGAACTTACTTTAGAAAACTTCATACATATGGGGCAAAGCCCAGCTTCCTGTGGGCGGATATTCTAGGTGCACGTGAAAAGGCCAACGTGACTGTCGAAGGCAGTATCTGTCAGATCTGTGGGCAACATGAATTTGCTTCCTCTGGGGCCAAGTCTGAGGCCACACCTAGGAGAGCGGGTGCCAGGCCCCACCTTGAGGGAGGTAGGAAGCTGCCCTGACAGGCCAGGCTGAGGCTGGTGCTCGCCCACCGTCGTCTACAAACTTTATGGACAAAAGGACACGCCAGGACAGGCTTGATGTTTTCTAAGGTTTCTGTGATTCTACGACGGCCCTGGCTCCAATTCTGGCTTTCTCTCTGCGCCTTTACGAGGGAGGCACCCTGACGAAGCTGGATGAGCCAGCCTCTAGCAGTGAGGCAGCTGCACCACCAAACACGCACACGTAGCTGAGCGTGCCCTGGCGCCTGATGGGCTGCAAGTAGTTCCTGGAAGGAAAGCACAGGACGAGAGGAATTCTCTTGCTGACAGAAGGCCGGTCTCCTGAGGCCTCTTGAGTCTCTGGGTTTTCTCAAAACATAAAACGGGGACACTTCTGTGCCCTGAAACCTAGCGACGCACATGCAGGCCCCACTGCTTACCCTGAGGAATGGCTCGCCGCCACCATGCAAACCCGAGCCCTCCTCTGGTCTTACCATAAGCCACCCGGGGGTGGTTGACCACGGATGTGCCTTCTGGGGCCACAGATGTCTCCCCAGCCGACCCCGTGAGAGGGATGGTGCTGTCGTCACTGGCCCTGGCACCAGGGAGCTCTTTAAATACGGGAGATTCCGCTTCCTGAATTTTATTGAGGCTTTCATCAGAGACTCGCGATAAAGCACCTTCTTTTCGTAATTTGCCTAAAGAAAGTACAGTCATAGCTGAAAATTTTGTAAGAATTCTTGTTATTAAAAAATAAATATAAAAAAATGAATATCTTTATACCTCAGTACTTACTTTGGAAATGAAACAAAAACGTAACAGCTAGACAGAGAAAATGAAGTGGAGAGTTCAATCGATTGTCTGGAAAACTTAGGCCAGAAAATTCAGCTACTGAGGAAAAGATGGGGGTGTAGGGCCTGAATTATCTCATCAAAACCCAGCAAAACAGAGAGGGTCATATCTGATTCCCAGGGTCCCTGTACAGGATAGCATTCTGCAATTCTATAACCATCTAGGGCTCACCTTCTATTTTCTTAAACTAACCTCAGAATCACTGAAATGTTTATCCTTTTTGTCTTCACTGATATTGTTATAGTCTGTTTGGTTTTCTTCTGTTCAATAAATTATTGGTTTCAGAATTCTTCAGGTCACTAAATCTTAAGAAACAAGTAAATCATTTTTCTAAAAAAAAACCAAAAAAACCCCCCACCACCAACAACAGAAAGATCCTACTTTGAAAAATCATTTATTTTCTAAAGAAACAATAGATTTTTAAAAAGCTATTTTATAGCTCGCTAGCACTCTTCTGAATCAAATCTGTTCTGTGGTGCTACTCAAGTAATGATTTTGCAAAATTCCCTGAGCAAATGTTTAAGCTCTCCCCTACAGCAATGAGATGGAAATGTTTTCGGTTTCTCTGCTGAAGACACTCACACGTAGTCTCTCTCCCTATCATCTCTCTATCTCTGTATCTACCTAGTCAGACAGATAGATTTTTTTAAACTAAATTTCTCTTATGTACTACAGGGGACAAGAAATGTACATATAGATCTATTGGCCTCAAATTGCTTATAATCTAAATGAGAGAATATTTGCATATCTATATCTATAAAAGCCTAAGTGACCTTTACGACCAGTCCGAATGACTGGTCGCTATGACGATGCACTGATCACCAAGGGACAGATGCTCAATGCAGGAGCTGCCCCCTGGTGGTCAGTGTACTCCCACAGCCAACCTTCCGCACTCCCTCCCCCCACCCCCGGCCAGCTGGCCCTGATCGCTGTCCAGGCCAAGGGACCCTACCCATGCACAAATTCGTGCACCAGGCCTCCAGTTTATAGTAATTAAAACAAAAATTATTAACACAGGAAAACAACTCCGGCAGCTTTCTAAGCCATATTCTTCTTTCTTTAAAAACTGTTTTACTGAGGTAGAACTTACATACAGTAGAATTCATACATTGTGAATGTTCAGGTAGGTGACCCATGACAACATAGGAGTATACCCTATAACCACTCCCCGCATTAAGACAGTACATTTTTATGTCCCTGCGAAGTTCCCTCCTGCCTCTTTGCAGTCCGTCTCCTGCAGCCCCGCACTGGCCTCAGCAACCAATAATTTTTATAGATTAATTTTCCCTGGAATCATACAGTATGGACTCTTCTGTATCTGGCTTCTTTTGCTCAGGGAAAGGTCTGTGAAGTGTGTCCTATTGTGCCCACGGTGGTAGGCAGTTCATTCCTGTATTACTCAGCAGTCTTTTAATGTATGAACAGACCACAATTTGGTTATCTATTAACCTGTTAATGAGCATTTGGGTTATTTCCAGTTTGGGGCAATTACAACCAAATGATTTGTGTACAAGTATTTTCATGAACACACATTTTCATTGCTCTTGGACAAACACCCAGAAGTGGGATTACTGGGTCATATGCTAAGTGTATACTTTACTTCATAGGAAACTGCTAAACTAATTTCCAAAGTGGCTGCACCACTTTACATTTCACCATAAATAAAGTTATTCCACTTCTTCACCAACACTTGATATTGCTAGTCTTTCTACTTGCGGTGTGAAGTGGTGCCTTAGTGTGGTATTAACTTGCACTTCCCAGATGACTAATGTTCTTCATCAGGCTGGTAGAGCTTCCTGGCATAGGTAACTTCCAGGTATCCACGGCAGCTAGGGCCTTGCTGTGTGAGCCAGGACCAGGAGACAAGGCCTGGGCATGTATCGCAGTGTGTGTTCTAGAGTTACCCATGCTTCCATTTCCCTCTGTTAGTACGGGTAACTGTGCATCACATCTGAAGTCTCGGGACTTGGGAGCACTTTTGTAAATCAGAAAAATAAAAGAGCACTTACCTGCTATTTTCCTCCGCATCCATGGACACACAAAGAACCACACGAAAATGGCGAACAACAGCGCCACGCCAAAGGAGATGAGCGCTATCGCCCAGATGGGAAGGACCAGGCCGAGCACTGAGAAGAGAAAAGACAGCAGTGGTCTCAGTGGCTACTTTCTGAAAGGTCAAGCCTCACAGCAACATACTTTCCATTCCCCTAAGCTAAAACCAGTCACCTGGATTTTGTGTCTAATAAAACCCACAGCCAAAAACATGTGCCATGCTTTTCAGGACAGAAAGCTGTGTGTTTAAGACACATTTCACCTTGTGAATATGTGATTAAATTGGTCAGTAATCTAATTATTAAAATTTTACCAAATTGGCACAAGCAGCATATTAAGTTGGCAATAGAATCATTTACAGCTTATCTTAATATCTAAATTCCCAAGTGGACATGTATGTGGCTAAGAAAGGAGTCCGCCACCTCATGCCCTATCATCAGCCCCTCTGGGTGGGAGAGGCTGGGGTCTGGACGCTGCACAGAGCCGCTGGCTGCCTGCCTCTCTGGCTTCTCGTGGGTCAGCCACCCTGCTTTAAATGGACATGTCACTCTGACTACATACATGAATCTCTTTAGAAATCAGCTTAGGAATACAAGCTTTCAAAGGATCTTGACCTTCAAATTTAACTCTTCTTTGCAGTATCAACTCATGGAATTACAACATAGAAAAACTTTTCATTAGAAATGTGATAATGCACTAAGGTGCAATTACCTCAGCAAACAAAAGGGTAGGGTGCACATGGTTTAGGAACATCCTATTTTCCTGGATGTTAAACATGTGCTTACATAGGGATACATGACAGGCATACAAGAATACCTACGATAGCATTACTTGTAATAGCAAGAATTTGTGAGACAACTAATATATGCATCCTTAGGGAAATGTGAAATAGTTATAGTCTTAAATCATAAAAATGAGGTGGATCTATATGTACTGATAAGGAAAGAGGCCCAGGGTCTAGTTAAGTAAGAAAGGCTGGGTGGGTAGCAGTATGCACAGCATGATCCAATTTACGTTTAAAAAAGATAACGACCCCACATTTACTCCTATCATATGTGTGAATGTATAGCAAAAGTTCTAGAAAACACAATGGTTACTACTGGAGAGAGATGCGAAACTGGAGGGGGCTTTTAATTCTTACTACATATACATTCGTACTTTTAAATTTGAAAATATATAATAAACATGCACTTTTGAAAATTGTTAAGAGTTTTTAAAAAGTGTTAGAGAAGTGAACTACTTAAAACATTGCCCTTTGCCTGGCCAGCATGGCTCAGTGGTTGAGTATCGACCTATGAAACAGGAGGTCATGGTTCAATTCCCAGTCAAGGCACATGCCCGGGTTGGGGGCTCGATCCCCAGTGGAGGGTGTGCAGGAGGCAGCGGATCATGATTCTCTCTCATCACTGATGTTTCTATCTCTCTTTCCCTCTCCCTTCCTCTCCAAAATCAATAAAAATATATTTTAAAAATAAGTAAAATGTTGTCCCTTGATTAAACGAATCTTTAATGATGCAAGCTTGTCACATATTTAATGATTTTATGCATAGAAACCAACTCAAAGTTATTCAATTAAGGTATTATTAAACGCTAGAGGCCCGGTGCACGAAATTCATGCACTCGGGGAGTGGGGAGTCCCTCAGCCCGGCCTGTGCCCTCTCGCAGTCTGGGAGACATCAGGGGATGTCCAACTGACAGCTTAGGCCCGCTCCCGAGGCTCCTGCCACCACCGCTGTGCTCGCTAGCCGTAAGCCCGGCTCAGGGCTTCTGGCTGAGCGGTGCTCCCCGAGTGGGAGCATACTGACCACCAGGGGGCAGCTCCTGCATTGAATGTCTGCCCTGTGGTGGTTAGTGTGCGCCATAGCTACCGGTCATTCTGACGTTCGGTCGATTTGCATATATTAGCCATTTATTATATAAGATATTTGGTAATTTTTAAGAGGTAGAATAGATAGTTAATACTATAATAGGAGTGAATTAGCATATATAAATGTGAAAAACAGAACACCAGAATCACCTACTTCATCTATAGCTAAGGGCACATTGGTGGGAATATAGACACTTAGGGGCTAGGCTGTTTATCTTCCAAACTCCTGGGTACCTCAGAAAGTGGGGGACTGGTGTGGGGCTGCGCCCCTTCAGCTGGTGGCCAGCTCCAGCCCCGGCTCTGCCCCAGAATCCAAAGCTTGGAGCTGCTTATAAAACCACTGGGGCTGACCTCACCAGGCCATGCTTGTGGGCCACGGCATCCTGGCTTCTGCTTTCTTTCTCCATGTCAGTGTCTAATACATGTGATAAAGGATCACTCCAAAGCTGTTTCCTGCCAAACTGAATGGTAACTGTTAATTACCCACATCAAACTGACCACCTAACATCAACACACATCACTCTTACAGCTTAAAAGTACTTGGTTTTTGAAGAGGTTTCCCCTGTTTCCTTTGGCTCCTGGTTTAGTTGGTGGTAAAATTGTTAACTGTGCTACTTTTGACTTCATTGTGTTAACCTGACCTAAGAGAGGCAAGCCATGGATACTGTGGGGAGAGAGAAACAATTTGAGAGATATTTGTTCCATCCATGCCAAGCAGAGCCCACAACAAAAGCCGAGAAGGGCTGCTTTATGGGCCTTTTCCAAGCCCATCTCCACACTCCCTGCTGGGTTCAAGCGGGATTCCAAGGGTGTCAGGGCCAACATGCCCAAGGGTTTCCTGAGGTCAGTTATAAGCTTCTGATCCTTTTCTTAGACAACAAGCCACAATGTCACCTGCTCCTTGAACCTTCACTGTCAGAACCGCCTATGCCATTGGTCTGGCCTGGGTCATGGCTAGAGGCTCTGAAGTCGCCCTCCCAGTCACAAGGCACTGGATGGAGGGCAGGGGATAAACACGTACTAGAGGGAAGGGGGCAGGATTGAGTAAAACATCAAGGAGGGACAGAGTGAAGGAAAATAGGAGAAAGTCATTGATAGTGAGCAAGGTCAGGGGAACAGAAGGGGCAGAATTTATTTTTATTTTTGTTAATCCTCACCTGAGGATATATTTTTTCCATTGCTTTCTAAAGAGAGTGGAAGGGAGGGGGAGAGACGGAAAGAGAAACATCAATGTGAGAGAAGCACATCCATTGGTTGCCTTCCACACCAGCACTAGAGATCGAGCCTGCAACCAAGGTATGTGCCCTTGACAGGAATCAAACCCGTGACAATTCAATCCGTGGGCTGATGTTCTATCCACTAAGCCAAATATTGTAGCCAGAAGGGGCAGAATTTAGATCTTACCAATCATTTCCACAAGTCAGTAATGTAACTGAGCATCAAAAGAACATGAGGATTTGTTTTAAAGCCTCCATATAAGAAATACAAACTGACAGTTATCCTATATAATAAAGAGGTAATATGCAAATTGACTGTCACAACTCACACAAGATGGCCATCTCCATGTGGTCACAAGGTGGCTGCCATAAGATGATCGGCAGGGGAGGGCAGTTGTGGGCGATCAGGCCAGCAGGGGAGGGCACTTGGGGCAACCAGGCCAGCAAGGGAGGGCACTTGGGGTGACCAGGCCAGCAGGGGAGCAGTTAGGCATCGATCAGGCTGGCAAGGGAGTGGTTAGGGGGTGATCAGGCTGGCAGGCAGAAGTGGTTAGGGGCAATCAGGCAGGCGAGTGGTTGGGAGCCAGCAGTCCCAGATTGTGAGAGGGATGTCTGACTGCTGGTAGTTGGACATCCACCAAGGGGCCCCAGATTGGAGAAGGTGCAGGCTGGGCTGAGGGACACCCCCCCCCCAGTGCATGAATTTTGTGCACCGGGCCTCTAGTCTATGCATATAAAAGCCTAATATGCAAATTGTCCCCTCGGGAGCTTGACCAAGAGAATGGGAGTTCAATTGTTCGCTATGACATGCGCTGACCACCAGGGGGCAGTGCGGAACAAAGGAAGGCCCAGGCCAGCAGCTGGAAGGCCCTGATCAACCCTGATCACCGGCCAGGTCTAGGGACCCTACCCATGCACGAATTTCGTGCACCAGGCCTCTAGTTTGTAAATAACTCTAAATTGTACTAAATACATCAAATCCAGTTTCATGGGTAAAACATAATTAAATACAAAACTTCGGCAGAAAAAAGCAGTGGAATCAATGTGCATCCTAGGGAGAACTTTTTCTCCTGAAAAAGTTAAGGCTGAGTTATACATAACAAGATTTTTGACAGGCATACTTGGTATTGAATTGTCTTCCTCTGAGGATCTCAAAATGTTTTGCAATAATTACACCTTAGGAGGGCAGTAAAGCACGGCCTGCCCTTCACTCTGCGGACAGGCAAAGTAGGACACGGCTTGAATTGCTCCAGCTACCGCAGCCAAAAGCACTGCCAGGAACCAAGGCCGGGAGCTCTGAGCCCGTCCTCTGCTCCAGCCACTCAGGGGCCTTTCATCTCCAGCCCTTTCCCTTCTCTGAAGAGCAAAGCTATGATGAATAGTGATTTAGCTCCAACCTCAAGCATCATTACAGTCCTGTTCCAAATCCCCCAAAGATCAGAAGATTCAAGTGACTCAAGCAGTAAAGAGAGCGTTTCAGAAACGGGCACAATCTTCCAGAGTCGTTGCTTTGTTACACCTCTTGCTTTTCATCTATGACAGTCATTATTAGAAACTACAAAATAATTAAAACTGCTATACAACCAATAAGGCTTCAGTCCATATTAACGACCTTACAGCCCTATGCATCAGCCTCTCCCTACAACTTTCCTCTTTTTCTCTCCCTCCTTTTAGTATAATTTTATAATATATGCTTACTATAAAAATGTCAGCAGTAAAAAGCTGTATGACGTACAAATGTAAAACTCCTCACCACACTCCCCTCTTGAACCCACTTCCCAGAGAAACACTGTTAACTACCTGGTGTGTAGTTTTCCAAGCATCATCTAGATATAAACCACACAGTGTAGAGTGTTGGCCAGAAGTTTGTCCCCCCCTTTTTTTTCCAAATTAATAGATGTAGAATCTTACTGTATATACTGGTCTGTATTTTTGTTTCTCACATAACAACACACTGTGGACATCTTTCCACAGTAACACACATACACAC